AGTGTAAATTACTAAATTGTAATTATCACATATTTTATCTTTATTTTTCTGGTATTATTTTATTGGAATCTGAAAATTCCTAGTAACCCTTGGCAGCTCGTACGGCCTCTTCACTAAATTTGGTTTGCCGGCCAATCGCCGTTTTCTTGAACGAAGAAGATCATTTCCTTCCTTTAATCCTCCAGATTATCTATTTCTGTATCCTCTAATCTTCAAAGTCTACTTCTTTTCTTTGATTACTGCTCTCATCTCACCTTGTCTCTGATGGAAAAATGGAAGCTTTTTCTGGGTTTCTCAAATGGGTATTGCTCAGTTCTTCGATTTCCCCACAGTATGGTTCATTAAGGTCTTTTTTTCATGTTCCCATTTGCAGCAGTTTTTCGAGTTTCTGAGTTTGAGAACAAACGTCGCTACTGATTTAGTTTTTGGGTTTCTTGTGTAGCTTTTATGCTTATGTTATATAAAGCTTCTTTCTTGGGTTTTGATACTGAAAAATTGAAAGATTGAGTCTTTGATTCTAAAAGCTTGGAGTGAGTTCGTTTGATTTGGTGGAAAATGTTTTKGTGGAGGTCTAATGTTCATGGAGTTGGATTTGAGAGGAACCAAGTGATCTCTTGATTGTTGTGGACAAAGGTAGAAAGAAATGGATCTATGGTTAATCGCAGCTACTGCTGCTACAGGATATATAACCAAGCATTTGCAAAATGTATCGAAAGGTAACCAAAACTTTCACGAGTCTTGTCCTGAAGATTTGACTAATGTGAAGCCACAATCTCCGAGATCATTAGTTAGTAGATTGGGGAGAGTCAAGAAACCAAAGGGAGAAAATTTTGGAGATTGCCTTGATGGGGAAAATCTTGGTCTATATGAATGTGGCAATGCATATGGAGTGGAAGTAAGTTGGAGCAATGAGGAGATCTTGGGAAATAATGATGAGATTCTTTCAGATTCGTTTGGGAACAGAGCGTTTCTTAGGAAGAATCGGCGGTACAAAAGTCTTATCAAGCCTTTTTCTATGGAGAATGGCGTAATGTCTCGGTTACATAGAGAGAAAATGTCGGTGGAGGAATATATGCGTTGCCCTTTTCCATCACCGTATGGTTCAGTTTCGAGGCCCTTGCTTGTTACTGATGGTACAAAAGTAATTAGCAAGAACACTGGAGATTCTATTGGTCAGCGAGTCCCGAACTGCGGAACTCCTCAGCTTAGGAAGTTGGAATCTTCACTTCTTTATGTTAAGAGGAGAGCTGGAATTGAGAAGAGCGCGAGTGGTGATGCAGCATTGCTGCTATGCGTTGGGATTTTGATTGGGATAATGTCATCATTTGTAGCAAACCAAACCAAAGTAAACAAGGTCGAAGCAAATTCAAAGCAGACAGAGAATTTGGTAAATGATTTAGAAGATGAGCTCAAAACGAAAGACTCATCGACAGTGAATAATGATTTACACAACGGTGACAAACAGTGTGATGAAAAGACAGCAGAAAAATCAGAATCTATAAGTAAAATTGAAGCAGAGCTTGAAGCTGAACTTGAAAGGCTGGAGATCAACATGAAGTCCTCCAACATTGAGACAATACTCTCAGATGTTTTCGAGGTGAGCTCTATACTTTTACTTATGCTCTTTGCATTTACTTGTGATGTCAAAATCCGGCAGAACTATGTAATCAATTGGTTGAAGCAGATATTTGATCACAAAAGTAGCCCTCTTTATTCATTTATAGAAGTTGAGTCGGTAGTTGTTTCTCGATTCTGCAGCTGGAGCCGGATTTTGAAGTAGAATTTGCACAGGGCGAGCTGAGAGATGATCAGGTTAAAAGGGTTGATGAAACCGAGTCCAGCCAGGAACCGAATGGAAATTCCACACCTGAATCAGGAAACTATACAGTCTCACCTCGTGAGCTTAGCTTGCGTCTGCACAAAGTGATCAATTCACGTTATCAAGAACGGATAAAAGAACTCGAGATCGCCCTACAAGAGAGCCAGAGGAGAGCGGAGCAGCTGGTTGTGGAATCAGAGGAAAAGAAGAAACCATTGTCAAGGATTTGGGAAAACCATGAAGTGATGAAACACAAGAGAGACTCATATCTTCCAGTTTCTGTAGCGGATATCAAGAAGAAGAATATCCCTGCAGAGATCCAACCTCTGGTCATGAATTTATCTGGGGAAGCACTTGATGCATTCAATGAATGTTATGAGGAACTGATGGATATAAACGACTATTCAGAAGAAGACGATACACCATTTGAGATGCAGGAGAATGAGCGGCAAGAAGAATTTTCTTTGACAAGCAAAAGCTCACATTGGAGCCATAAATATGACATAAAGGATTCCTCAAGAACGTCAGAGGATATGAGTTTCTTCAGGCTGGAAAATCTATTTGATACGAGCGACGAAGAAGAGTTTGAGAGTGAGATGGAGAAGCAACTGATAAAACAAATTGTTGAGAAAACAAAACAAGGGTCTTCAGCTGTGATTAATGCCCAGAAGATGCTATCCCTCATGGAAGAAATAGAACATAATCTATAAGAAACAAAAAAAAGCATTAACTCAAATTCTCATTGTTTCTTGATGAAATTTATACACATCTCTAGTTAGTGTGCATATGTAAGATTGGTGAAATAAGAAAATGTTTTGCCAAATTCAATGTATATATCACAAGAACAGTTTCAAAGCTATAAAATGTGAGAAAACAGAGAGAATCAAAGAAGAAGCCAAAGCACAAATCTTTTGAACACCTTCTAGTTGCATTAGAGGGTTTAAAGAAGGCGCCAAAAAAAAAAAAAGAAGAAGCGGTGAAGTTTTAAAAACAAGAGAAGAAGAATCGGCGGGAGTAATTAATGAAAAATCTAATAAGCTCCCGCGCAAATCTTTCCGTTTTACAAAACCATTAAGCTTCCTTCCTTTTTGTTATATTCTCACAAACTCAGTTCGTCTTCT